GTTCTGATTATTGGAGTCCTTGGTGGAATGATTTCCTTTCTACTCTCGAATCTTAAAATCATACCGGCTTGCCGCACTAAGGCAGAAATCTTAGCCGCACAGAAGGCTGTCATTCTTGGCTCACTGCGCTTGCTCAGGGCACATGATTCTCGGACCTAATGGTCACTTACCCCACGGTGTGGGGAGTGGTCATTGGTTGATAACGCTGGCGTGCCCTCCCGAATGTATCGGGGCTTCGGGGGATAGGGCCTGACCAGCGCACACTATTTAATGTGTTGTTGACAAATTAATTTGCAGGTAATGGTTCCACTAGTTAATTACCGAAAAATCAATTAGGATAGTCGTCATTTAACAAACAAAGTCCACATCGGACCAAAAAACTTCAGGTATATAAACAGCTAACCCTTGTTCTTAGATTCAGTATCAATTTGCTTCTCCTGAAGACGGTAACATTGTTAGTGAAACGCGCGTCGAGTACAAACATATCAGTTTGGTGTTAGGGTAATTGATCTCTAGAAAAAGTTTTCAAAAATCGGTTTGCAAAACCACTCACTACCTCACCTAACCCCACGAACACACGGCACTGATCAAGAAATATTGTGAAACGGCCAAATAATTAGTATTCAGCCAGTCCAGCTAGCCGAGCCTTTATTCCTCAACTATATTTGATAGCACGTTTAGGAACTATCTGGGCGATTAGGGGCCACAGGCCAGAGATGTTTATGGCTGTACCAGGGACGCTGTGAACATAAGAGCAGTGGTAGTATATACATTTCCCATTTGCCGGGCAGTGATTATGAACACCCCTCGTAGCGCTCTTATTTTTATTGCCGTTCCAATTGGGATTGGATTAACTATACCAGAGTATAGAACGTTATGAGGATAAGGTGGAAATTAAGTGCGAAAATAATTTGGGAGGTTTGAAATTAGTTTTTTCTTGAATGATTGATATTTAAAATCATTATTATTTCTCTTCCGCTTCAGTTTTTTTTTTGTACTTAAGTTACCGTACTTGTTGGTGACCCAAAAATCATCCCTGTACATTCTAGTCGATTATTGCATGAACCCAACAACACCACAAAAAACACACACAATGCTCATGCTGAACCAAACCACATTATCCACAAAACGATTCGTTTTCAGGAGAACATCGAGGTGTACAAAATTGAAATCGTTAAGTTGAAATCGCATTTGATGAAACTATACAAGCTGGCAAAAGAACAAACCTCTCAACTCAAAAATGAGGTAAGCGAGCTCAGGTCCACCGTTCTCTCGAGCAAAGAAGTCATAAGTCAACAGTGCAAAGGTATGGACAGCTCATGGGTAAACGTCATCGTGGAAAAGGATATTAAAGATAAAGAAATTCTGGAAATGACGCAGAAAATCGCGGAGGACGCCACGTGCAACTTGAGACGTCAGGAAGAGGAGAAAAAAAAGGAAATTAAAGAGCTGGTACAGAAAAAAAAACTCCTGGAGAAGGAGTGCTGGTTCTTGAAGAAGGATTTGAAAGATATGAAAAAATCCAACAGAATATTGTGCGACCAGAATGAAGAGACCATCGAACGTCTCAGACAAAACATAGAGCAGATGGAGCTGGATAATGAAAAGGAAATTAAAGAGCTTACGGAGAAGCTGAACAGGGACCACAAAGCGGAAATCGAAGCCATCAAGCAGCGTTTGAAGTTGTTGACTATGGAGCGAAGCAGGTCGGATAATTCTCTGGAGAAGTCCGGAGATTGCGCCTCACTACCTAATCATCTGCTCCTACAAATAACGGAAAACTTCGAATTAGACAAGGAGAAGTCCGTTAACGAGGCTTTGAAGACGGAACGCGAGAAGTGGGAGAAGTTGTTGGAGAAGCGTGTGCACGAAATGGAAGTCAAGTTCGAAGAGGAGAAGCAGGCATTGTTGGACAAGATGTCCGAAGAGCGCGAAAAATTACCGGTCGCGGTTGAGAATAACGAGAGGGAGCTGAAAGAGGAAATCGATGCTCTACAGGAGGAGAGAGATATATTGATGACACAATTAAAGAGTTACGAGGAGTACGTCAATGTAGTTGACAATGAAGGGCGGGAGAGTAGACAAGGTGAGTTGAATAGTATTCAGCTTGTGATGTTAGGTGTATATTTACTATTAGTGGCATATACTTTATCGTCATATTTCATGTGAATATGAGGCTGTGGGTTTTTTGGAACCACGACAATTACGTCCCATGACAGGCACTTCTGAATAATTTCATCGGATTTCCGCAAATTATACAGGTCCATCAATTTAAACTGCCTTCTGTGAAGGTAATGCAAGACTGTTTATTATAGTAGATGGTTTCCTTACGGTGCTAATGCAAAAATTGAAAATTTGAGTTGATACCGTTCAAATAATATGTCACACTTCCAGAATCTGTTGATTAATACTGTAAAAATGTACGGGGACTTCAAATTCTTGCTTTCCTTGAGTTTCATAGTGACAATAGCGCCACCTCGTGGCAATAGATGTTTGGTAAGTCATTATTTAACCAGCTACCTGGTTTTCGGAGGTTCTTGATGGTTTATAATAATATGAATCTGTTTAATGAACAGTATCAAAACAGTGGTCCCCAAATATTGCACAAAATGATCTTGTGTATTCCGAAAGGTCAATTAACAGATTTGAAAGTCATTTGACTCACTTGAAATACGTTGAAGGTGTTGACAGATTTGAAGTGTCAGTTGTCAACTTCACTTTGAAATTTTTAGTTGATATCTTGACCTGTAGTTATGTCGTGGAAATTGTCTGTCATGAGGTGTAGAATAATTTGTTTAATCACTGTGTATTATGTATATTTGTAGCAGGTCACTCTGAATATTAAGTGTGACGGTTTTGAAGCATGCTNAATGTATGAATACTTTATTTTGAAGTGATTTTGACAAATGAAACTTTCAATATGGCGACTGGGTGCCATCATGCCGAGCATTTTCGAACACAGTATCGTCAATATCTCTATTTACGTAACAAAATAATAAGATTTGGCTCATTATTGATGAAACCCTTTTACCTTGCATTTATTATTTGTTTCCAGGATTGATTCTGCAAATTTGAATTGATCTTCCTATTAGAAGTATGTTTGTGTTCTTTTATTCTTCTGGAAGTGTATTTTTCTGTTGGTCTAATATAAGAGAACAGAAATTCGACTAGAAATCAATTTTAAATCTCACATCTATCACTCATTGTTCTAATTTTTGACAGAACTTTAATCAAATTTGTATTTGTTTCTAGGATAGAATACATTCATTCACCAATATCAAAATGATGTATCGCTGCTGTTCTAATGTTTTGACAGAATCAACGAATCAGCGTTACAGAACAGTGCTTTCAAAAAAATTTTTCTACAGCGCCATCTAGTGGCGAGTGACATTACATAAAAATTGATAGCCTAAAAACCTTAATATTACTTATACATGTCAAGTTTCATCACAATCGGTTGAGCGATGTAGAAGTTAATCACTTACCAACCAACCATCCAACAAACATCCATTTTTATATAGTAGATTCCATCATATAAATATGTAACCTGTGATATTGGAAGTAAACATATGTATTATGAATACTCTAACTCGTTGCTTGATAGAGGTTTCACAATAAATGTTATTTAAAAACGTTTCGTTACAAGGTAGCTTCATCGGTTACAGGTACATCAAAATTTTCTACAATATCTTTTATATAACACTAGGTAATAACAAAAATCATCAGATAAATTAGCAAATTTGTTAAAATAGGTAGATTTTGAATAAATTAGCAGGTACAATACATCATTACTTCTAAGTTACAGATACAATATTGGCATTTTATGTCAAAACCTAATTAATGATTAATTCTGTCAAAAAAGGTAGATTATTTAGAAAGCACAAATCAATACAATATTATTTATAATGTTACGTTTTGCCCCGTTTGTTGACCAATAATTAACTCCACTGAAAAATAATCAAACTTAACTTTATTTCACTTCAAATACAACAAACACTTCAACTATGTCTATCGCCCCACTAGATCGCTCCGCGTACCGCACTGTAACTTCCTCGACTGCCTCGATGGGCGAGTGGATGACGCGTATATTCGGCAATTGAAGGCGCCGGAAAATTTCCCGGAATTTCGGCGCCTTCTTTAGCGCCAGAACCGGGTAGCATTATTCTCGGAGCAAAGCCACGTCTGGATCGACAGCGAACATCGTACGTTCGCGCGCTCTTAGCTACGTCACAATTGGTTCATGGCTACCAGTGGCGGCCGGCGTTATTTTCTTTAGGACATGAAAATTGAGTCGTAGAAAGCCAAAATTTTTCCCAAAAAGTATTTTGATTAGTTTGATGTAGCAGTAACTGATGAAGCTGCAGTGTAGCAAAACGCTAACTATTTTTATGGATGGTAAACATTGTATGACAAAGACTGAAAACTGACAGAATCATATATGTTCTCGGCCCTTTTACATTCCACTTTTGTACAGTGTACAAATAAAATGCTGAGGAGCACGTTAATAACAAACGAAGAGGATCTATTTTTGAGTAAATTCTTGAAAATGTACGTTTGTATAGACTTCTACATATTCCAAGCATGAACTGAGGAAACTTGAAGATCATCTTTGAAAATCAACGATTATACAAAAGCCTGCCCCAGCAGGTTCTGCTTTTTGTCGTATTATCAATGTGAAATGTTGTTGTCCAAGATGTAGATATTATCATCATAGTAATTAGTGTCAGAAATAAATTGAGTAAAGTGTAAGTTTTTTTGGGGTATTGTAGGGATACGACGAGATAAATATCACATCAGCGACACTTCAAATGAAACTTAGCTGGTAATTCAAAAACTGGCTTTCAGTTTCGAAGTAATCTATTTTGAAAATTGTGAAAAATTTATGTTTTTTTTTTATTTTGCATTAAAGTTTGTGTACTCTTCTGACCATTTTGTTTTTTACTTTTAATTTTGATTTTATTTTTCATGTTTTGGACGCTTTTTATGTGCATAAGTAAAGTAAAAGAGCGTGATCTGCTTCAGGTAAAGAGCTGATCTTTATGTTTTCTTCTTCCTCCTTTGTACAAGGGTAGGGAATTGGAATATAGTATGTAGATTCTTACCTGCTACAAATATACTTACTACATGTATAGTGTTTAAATAAACTATCTACTTATGTATATAAGCTATGTTTAATATACTGTAAACATATCGAGTTCATTGGTTTTATGATTTCCCATTCCTATAGAATTAAGTTTTTGAGCAATGAACATTTGAACGCATGCCATGAGATGAATTTAGAGAAAGGAGAGTTTCTTTTCCGTGATCCTGTACAAAACGAGTATTTTAAAAAATACTCTGCGCAGGATTGTTTTTAAAATTCTACAGAGGATTGTTTTGGGACTCTCAAATAGTTATTTGAAGAATATACTCAAATTCAGAATAGAAAAGATTTTTTTACAACACCCTGTGTAGCAAATTGAATAAAAGTTAATACTAGAGTTTATAATTATTCCATCCTCAATGAAAAGTTAAACTGGAACATCTGGCGAAGAAAAAATCCAAAACGAGCATAAGCAAATACCAGAACTGCAATATACTATTCTCGAGGCGCGTTTCGCCAACTAAGTAGGCGTCTTCAGTAGTTTTGTTCATCTAAAGTATATTGCAATTCTGATGTTTGGCAAAAATGTTTGATTTGGATTT